GTTCTGCCAAAAAAACAAACAAAAAACCCACATCTTGCTTTGTTACTGGGGTACAGACCAATTTGCAATCCTCCTGTCTCAGCTTCCCAAGTAGCTGGGATTATAGGCATATATTACCATGACTGGCTTTAACTTTGTTTGTTTGTGTATCTGTGTACTAGTGATTGAACTGAGGACCTCATACATGTTAGGCAGGTGTTCTACCACTGAATTACATTTATTTTTCTTTTCTTTTTTATCAAAACGTTTCAAATCTTTTCAATTTTCTGTTTATTTTTTACACCGAAAAAGCATCGATACTTTTCATTCCATTCTTGTCAACTTTAGCCAAAGCCTTCTTTTTTTTTTTTTTTTTTTTTTTTTGGTGGAACCAGGGAATGAACTCAGGACCTTGCGCTTGCCAGGGAAGCACTTATTCCACTGAGCCATCTCCTCGGCCCCATAGCCAAAGCCTTCTGAGCTGCAGTCATTTTGATATTTTATGCTTTTCAGTCTTCAAATCTTTAGTGTTAAACTTAGTGTAGTCTTCTTTTGCTTCTGCAGGCTCATCTGATATCTTTAGTCTCTTTGATGGAGGGTTTGGCAATGGAGCTGAAATTTCTGGAAGCTTAAAGTATTTAGATAAGTTGTCACTTAATTCTTTAGGGATGTAGTCAGATATTAAACCATGGGCATAATGAATGTAATCCTCTTCCTTATCACTGGAAACCTGGTCACCAGAGAAAAATGCAGCTGACTGTACCCAGGCACCAACATTGACGTGATTGACTTTTTTTTTTTTTTTTGGCGGAACTAGGGATTGAACTCAGGTGTGATTGACTTTTAATGCTGCTGTTCTCTGATTAACCTTTTTTCCCAGCCACTTTAATGTCTTTTCTTTGCTGTATTTGTAATATTTCTTGTTGTCTATTTCTTTTTCATGTGTCACATGATGAAGTAACTTCTCAAGTTCTGGAAGTTTCAGTAACAAAATACAATCTGGAAATGTGTCATCCATCACAACTTGATCTAGGGGTTGAAATTTTCCCTCTTTGCCAGCTTTTATAAGGTAGTGGAGAAGCAGAAACAGAGAGTCCATGGGTGTGGCAAAGTGAAGGAGACCTCCTGATTGAGCTGATTCATTTATAAACCAGGAATGGTATTTTTCCTTGAAAACTTTGATTTCAAATAGCTGCTTTAAACACATAACTGAACAAGTAAATGGCTCTTTCCTCTCAGCAGAGGTTAACCAATTTGATAAACATTAGACCGCCTTTCATCTTCTTTGAAGCATCTTTTAAACATCCTGGGAGCAGGAGCACGAGCTGCTGGGCACTGTCCCTGTCCGCGCCGCCTGGCCGGTACCCATGCTGTGGCTCCTCCTGCTCCTCCTCGGTTGGGCTCTGCAGAGAAAGATGGTGCGCGTTGGGCGGTTCTGCATGGTGCCCTTGGATTAAATTCGGTTTCATTTCCTGAACTACATTTCTGAAGTGCAGTTAAAAAAAAAAAAAAAAAAATTATAGAAATTCTGAATAGTATTTCCTTATAGCTAGGCCAGACTTAACTATTCCTCTATTAATAAACATTTAGGTTTTCCTTTTTTGATGTAGTAAGTTGATAATAAATATTTAAGTTGATAATAAATATAATGTTTAGTCATTCTTTGTTTCTCAGTTATATATATTTTTTTAAAGGCCTAACTTTATTCCCTTTATTTTTCTTGTATAAAAGCATCATACTGGCTTGGCATGGTGGTGCATGCCTGTAGTCCCAGCAAACACATTGGAAGGTGAGGCAAACACATTGCCATGAGTTCAAGGCCAACCTGAGCCATATATATAGTGAGTTCCAGGTCATCCTGAACTATACAGCAAGACCGTGTCTCAAAACAACCAAAACCAAAAAATCATCATATAGTAGCCGCAAATGAGGCCTCGGTCCTCTTCTCAAAGCCTCTGGTTTTCACTTTTCTGAGATGGGAAAGTTGTGATTATAGAGTTACTTAGTTTACATGGTCTTTTCCCCAGAGGTTATGG